TGTTGTAGTTATGGTTCACAGGGATCCAACATTTGTTGTAGTCATGGTTCACAGGGATCCAACATTTGTTGTAGTCATGGTTCACAGGGATCCAACATTTGTTGTAGGGATGGTTCACAGGGATCCAACATTTGTTGTAGTCATGGTTCACAGGGATCCAACATTTGTTGTAGTTATGGTTCACAGGGATCCAACATTTGTTGTAGTCATGGTTCACAGGGATCCAACATTTGTTGTAGGGATGGTTCACAGGGATACAACTTTTGTTGTAGTCATGGTATGGATCCAACATTTGTTGTAGTCATGGTTCACAGGGATACAACTTTTGTTGTAGTCATGGTATGGATCCAACATTTGTTGTAGTTATGGTTCACAGGGATCCAACATTTGTTGTAGTTATGGTTCACAGGGATCCAACATTTTGTTGTAGTCATGGTTCACAGGGATCCAACATTTGTTGTAGTCATGGTTCACAGGGATCCAACATTTGTTGTAGTTATGGTTCACAGGGATCCAACATTTGTTGTAGTTATGGTTCACAGGGATCCAACATTTGTTGTAGTCATGGTTCACAGGGATCCAACATTTGTTGTAGTTATGGTTCACAGGGATCCAACATTTGTTGTAGTCATGGTTCACAGGGATACAACATTTGTTTGTAGTTATGGTTCACAGGGATCTAATATTTGTTGTAGGGAGGGATCCAACATTTGTTGTAGTTATGGTTCACAGGGATCTAATATTTGTTGTAGGGAGGGATCCAACATTTGTTGTAGTTATGGTTCACAGGGATCTAATATTTCTTGTAGTGAAGGTAGGGGATCCAACATTTGTTGTAGGGATGGTTCAAAGTATCGTACATATAGCTTTAAGGTTTGATTTTTAGGATGTCTATGTCAGAATTAGGCTGTCTATGTCAATGCACATTGTAGCAGACAGAATTAGGATGACTACAAAAATACAAATGTTTCCATTTGTCGGTCTTCAAATGTTCACATACAAGGGTCTACACATTTAGAGAAAGCACTAAAGCTATTAGACATATTTTTAAAAACATGCTAGTCAGAGCTATATAGAAACGCTAGCTAGGATTGTATGGCCATTCTAGCTAGTGCTGTATGAATGTGCTAGCTAGGGCTGTATAACCACGCCAGCTAAAGCTATATGACTAAGCTAGCTAGTGCTGTATGAATGTGCTAGCTAGGGCTGTATAACCACGCAAGCTAAAGCTATATGACTAAGCTAGATTTGGCTGTATAAACACGCTAGCTTGGGACTTCTTTTAAGAACGACCTGTTCGATTTGTTGGGTTTAAAGCCACACCAACAGATATGGGGTGGGGGGTGTGTGGAATGGGGGGGTGGGGGGTGTGCATGCACGCGCCGATGACAAAAAGACACGCGCAGATCGACTCACTTTATTGAATAACTTGTTGGCAGGTCAAAGCGCAAGGAGAGTTATTTATAGCAGGGAGGGTGGGGGTGGGGGTGAGTGTGTGTATGAGTTGTGTGTGTGTGTGTGTGTTTGAGAAAGTGAATGCGCGAATTGGGGTCAGTACCCAAAGGACAGACTTTATTTTTCTCTGTTTTTTTGTGTGTGTCTTCCTTCGTGTTAAGATTTCTGGAACACCAGTTGCCTTTCTGAAACTGAATTATAATGCAAATAAAGACAGGCTTCCCCCCTGCCCCCCCCCCCCCACCCCCCTACCCTAATGCCGTTGCCGTTCGTTGGCGAATTGACGTTATCAATTAGGGCACTGTCAGACTTGGCACAAACTCTGGCACCCAAAGGTTTACTAAAACTGGAAGCCAGACACATGTCTCACTCCATTTTCACAAGTCTCACTTTTGTTTCGTAAGTCTTACTTTACTTTATACACTACCAGCACAGTACGCAGTGTTTCTTTCAGACCTTTTTCCTTCTGGAGAAAAAGGGGGGGGGGGGGGGCGGACACTGGTAAAAGTATATATTTTCTTAAAAGAATTCTACTTCGTTGGGAGGGGTGCGGTGTGGGTTAGAAGTGCATAGGGGAGGGGTTCTTTTAATAATCCTCACTTTCTGATCTCTCGTGGAGGGAGGGGGGAGGGGGGGAACTCAATGCCCGTCCACCCTGGACGCGTACACCGTAAATATAAAGTTTACTTCAACCATTCTCTCTCCCCCCCCCCCCCACAATCGGCAATACCTCCCCGGAACAAAAGGTCTGAAAGAAACCCTGACTGGCTCAAAAGTCTTCCTGTTAAAGAAAGAGAATCGGTGGTTGCCGGTCCTGCCTTCAAATATCCCAGCACCCAAATTTAGCAGCGAAAACTTGTGTATAAAAATATCCCGGACTACAGGAATGGCTTTTTAGAATGGCCATCCATCACGACACGTTAAGGGGGGTGGGGCGGGCTGGGAGGGGGTGAGTGTTTTTTGGATTGTCGGGTAGGCGAGTGGAGGGGGGGGGGGGGTCGATGACATTCGTTGGTGGCGTCAGTAGTAAAAGGGGGAGGGGGGAGCAGGAGGGGTGGGGATATTATAAAAACAATTTTCTAAATTTATTTTTTGAAGGATCTTATTCACCTTGCAAAGTCGGATAAGTTGGGCGTAACACATTTTGGTAACAAAAAATTACGTTGCAAATTGGGATTGTTAAATAGCTTGTGTTACATACAATAAGGTGTAAAATGTTACAATACAAAGTGACTCAATCTTCGTTCTCTCTGTATATATTCTAAACGTGATAAATATTACTAGTAAAAATGCCAATTTATTTTGTTGCCTTTCTAAATAGATCCTCTGGTGGGTAGTTAATGTTTGCATAAATACGATGTAAGATTAAGTTTTCAATGGTTATAATTGAAACGATGTATTTGTATCTGTGAGAGATAAAGATAGAGTGGGTTTGTGGATACTGGTGGGGGGGGGGGGGTGGGGGATGGGGAGGGTTGCAAGACAAGTGGTTAATGTCCTCAATGTACTTGATCACGTCGCGGATCAATATCAAAGAATTCGATAAT